AATTTTAATAAATTGTTGTTTTAGTTTCCATAAATGGCATTTCCAACAACTTTAAAATCTCTGGTGCCAAATATTGTAGGTAGTGTTTTAACTGTGTGTGTTGCCACTCAGCTTTTCTAGGTAAGTTATACTCTTTTTGTGGAGCTTTTAAAGTTTTAAAAGTATTACTTAATAGCTGATTGAGGGCAATAATTCCATTATGAGCCCATGTTTTCCAGAAAAATGTATTACCAGCCATTTTCAAATAAAAATTACTCCAAAGTGTTGGCTTCTCGCAAGAAGAAAAGTCATATTTAAAAATATTATCCAATAAGGCCCGGGTATGTTTTCAGTGCTGGAAAAGTAACCAGATTCTACTATCATTGGTTCCTAGCATTTGGCATGATTGTAAGAGTATATTGTAAGAGTATAATATTTTATGTTGTACACAATATACAGATTTCAGTCTGTTCATCTTGATGATTACTTTGCCAGCGATTGGTACATTTCATATGAGAGAGACAGACAGACAGAGAGATTTCACTAAGTAGATAATGAAGCCACAAGGATTTCTGAATCCTAAGATGAATTTGCTGACAATAGGCAATGGAATATTTTCCTTTGTTACAAGTTAATGCACGGTCATGCCCAGGATGCACTCAAAAGTTACATTAAGAGGGATGTTTTGAATTACTTTTCCTTCATTTTCAGTGACAATTGACAGGGAAGTATTATAATAAAAGTCACATTTTAGCCTAATTTTAAGATGGCAAACTCTTCCGCTGTTTCAGGCAATGGAATATTTTCCTTTGTTACAAGTTAATGCACAGTCATGTCCAGGATGCACTCAAAAGTTACATTAAGAGGGATGTTTTGAATTACTTTTCCTTCATTTTCAATGACAATTGACAGGGAAGTATTATAATAAAAGTCACATTTTAGCCTAATTTTAAGATGGCAAACTCTTCCGCTGTTTCAGGCAGCCAGGAATTATATCCAATGCATTCATGAGGCATGATCTCATTTGATAGATCTTTACTATATTTTTATCGAATTAACCAAAAAGCCTGAAATCAAGCATGTAACATCATCTTGCCCAATTTAACCATAGCAGTTAAGTGTGCAGCTTATTCAAAAAAATTTTAAGAGTATGGATTTCATTAAGCTCTTCTCTTTTACTATAATTTCCACGTATAGAGTAAAGCTTAGAAAAGTCTTAAATTTGTTCTAGTTTTTTCTCCAAGCTGATAAGCTTTTTTATAGCTATTGCTTTCATTTAGTTGTCTGTAGTGACACAGTTGTGTTTTCAAGTTAAGTCAAAATGAGTGAAAGGCACTTTTCTTGATTTAGCAAATATATCAACCCTGTTAGGTTCCACAGTTAAGAAAGCATTACACACACACACAGAGAGAGAGAGAGAGAAAGGGGAAAGAAAATTATACCAAGATGTCATTCCATATATGATTATGCAGGTTGTGTTTAGTAAGTAAATTCCAAACCACTGGTTAAATGTTGGCTTTTACCAATGGTAAGATGGTCATTATCTAACTTTAGATATAAATATATATATATAAGTTTCAAAAACAAAGGAATAAGAAAATCAATATTTATCTTTAAAAAATAACTAAGTTTTTAAATTAGTTATTTTCTCTCCAAAAGCAATGCAACATCTTAATATTCAGGTAAGTCAGATTTAGGCTCTAGCTTTTAAAATATTCAGATCCCTAAGACCAAGCTGAAGTTGGAGGTGTATTTCACAAATATTTTGCCTACTGATTAAAGGGAGAAGGCAAACATGTTTGTCTCTATGGTCTTCAGATGGCCAAACATCTACAGTATTTAGGTGGCTTTATCTTTACAGCTATATTCCTCAATAGCCTTGCATTGGGGTGATCGGCGAATATTATACAGTCATAGTGAGCCTGTTGTTTGTTTTAAAAATCTGCTTTTAATGATGATGTCATATGGACAATCAGATTTGGTTGACATAAAATCTAATTGTTACTGATTTCAAAACCAAGTAAATAAACAAGGATCACAGCTGCAGACTATTAGGGCACCTAATAGAGGAAACTAGACAGCTATCTGTCTGAGATGCTTTAGTATGAATTCCTGTACTGAACAGGAGGTTGGATTCAATGGCCTAAATGCTTCCTTCCAACTCTGTGATTCTATTACTGTAATTATGGTTGCATTTATTACTGTTTTTGTATTATGTCTCTTCTATTTTTTTCAATAAAATTAATGAGTTAAAGCTCTCCTCATAAGAACTGGCAAAAAAAATGTCTTCAATAGTAATAATCTGAATTCTGGCATCTATTTAAGACTGATAGTGGTTATAGGTAGTCCTTGCTTAGCAACCACAATTGGGACTGGAATTTAGGTTGCTAAGCGATGTGGTCATTAAACAAATTATCATGTGACCAGACCCGATTTTATGACCTTTTGTGGCAGTCATTAAGCGAATCACTGGTCATTAAGTGAATCATGTGGTCATTAAGTGAATCACATGGTCATTAAGCGAGTCATGCGGTCCCCCATTGATTTGGCTTGCCAGAAGCCGGCTGGGATTATCAGAAATGGTGATCACGTGACCCCAGGACACTGCAACCGTTGTAAGTGCAAGCTGGTTGCCAAGCACCCAGATCACAATCATGTGACCATGGGGGCACTGCGACAGTCGTAACTTTGGGCACTGGTAATAAGTCATTTTTAGTGCTGTTGTAACTTTGAATGGTCCCTAAACAAACAGTCGTTAAATGAGGACTACCTGTATAGTTTTAGGAGAAAGAGCAATTAGCACCCAATTAACTTTGTATTAGATCTTCTTATCCTAAAACACTAGCCTGTCATGTTTATTCAGTCAACTTGTCTATCTTCTTTGAGATTCAACAACAGCTGTAGCAGAGAACAGGACAAGTAACAGGTCACAACGGTACAGGGCCATAGTGGAATCAGCATGACTAGTTTCCCCTAAAGCAAAGCAAGTGTTTCTATTAAAACAATTTTTTCATTTCTGATAGATATTGCCTACTAAATTCAAGGGATAGTTGGAAGCCTACCAAATATTGTGTTTGTGTCTTTGGCTGCTAAACTATAGTTCTTAGGAGCCATTAAGTTCTAAGGAGCAAAGGAACCCAGCCCAATTTGTTGGGCTACAATTTCCATAATTCCTATCTCTAACAGAAGACTGGGAAAGTTTTAGTATCCAGCCATCACAACTTTCTGAAGGTTTGATTGGCATTTCTCTGCAATCATCCACCTCAGATTTTGAGGCTTAAAATATCATAGGACGTGCACTGAACCACCAACCATGATACTAAGATTTGTAGGTCAAGGGAACACAGGCTGCCCAATGAGACGACAAGCACGATCACAGTGTTAATGGATAAGAAGCAGAGAAGGGCAAAAACTATTTGGTATTGTCATAGGGTGATAAATCTGTTTCATCTTTAATGTGAGGTGTAAGATTACCCTTCTCCTCCCTTGTTTGTTAAAAATAAAGGAATGTGATAATAAGAATCTTTCCTGAACTGGATAATGATGAGGTTAAGCCTTGTCATTTGATACCAAAGCAATGAATCACTAGTTTCCGTGGCATTTTTTGTTGTAGAGATTGCACAAATGTTTGACCAATGTAAATGCAGCAATCAAAGCTGGTGCACCAAAAGCCAGGCACCACTCAATCAATGCACTATTGATTTCAAAGCCATCCTGTTGCAAAATGCCCTCTGCTCCAAGCATGTGGGATGGCTGCTCCTTAATCATAGAAGGAAATGTTGCTGCAGTAGCTACTGTTAGCAAGGGGGCCTGTGTGTCTTAATTCTGTTGTACAGATAGAGTAGGCAAGGATCTTTTTGCCATTCCTTCTGTCCTTTTTCCAAAGCTGTATTTATTTTCACTGCTCTCCCACATCTTTCCAGGCTTCAGTGTGACTAGTACAAAAATTAGCAGTGTAACTTTATACATGATTCCATTATGAAAAAGATAAGATAACATTACCTCATACTTACTGAATTTCAGTTGTTGCAAGCCAGTCTGTACAGGAAAATCTAGGACTTCTAGGGAACATTCCGGCTTAGACTTGGACAGGACTTTCTATAGAGTGAGTGGGAAGTGCAGGGTAGGGCAGGGGCTTTTAAAATGAAGGATCAGTCTGGCCTTATGCTTCTTCATAGACCCTGGCAATTGAACAGTATATTGATCTTTTAGTCAAGAACATATTTTTCATTTGATTGCAATAGCAAAGGGAAAAAAACCTGAGAGCTGTTTCTGAGGTAAGCTGTTAGAGGTTTTCTAGGATAGCTTCAATAATAGAAGCTTGTGTTAAGCTTGAGATAAATTTTCCAGGCCTGGTTTACTTCAGCCAGGGCATCAAGTTGCCTTGGAACTGCACGTCTTCAGGTGTTGTATGGATATTTCTAGCTGGGGGCTTAAGAAGAATCATGCAAGGCAGGTCATCTGTATGTCTTGTGCTGATCCCACAGCTGTACCTGCCAGACATGTGGACTTATCTTTGTCTTTGTGAATCGTTTATGAGAGAACAATTCACCTTGCATACAGAAAAAATGAGAGCAGCCCTTCCCAATTATCATGAGTATATACTGTATGTACGATGCATGAGGATGTACTGTGTGACTTAACCGGAACTGTTTTGGGTTCGTGACTGCAGCATATTTTGTTGCCTTTCTTGTTCAATAAGCAAGACAAAACTCTGAAATACAGAGTTTGTCTAAGGACTTCCACCTCAGAATGTATGACTACTGGAAGCTGAGATACATAAACTTATTTTTTCTCTGTCTATATTGTAGGGATGATGGTGTTGGGGATGATTTCTGAATGGAAGGCGATAGAAGCTATCTTCTCTATCACTTCATATTATTTGTTTAGGAAACAATGTATAACTTTAATGTTTAGTGCTAAATTAACTTCAGATGAGAGCCAAGCAATCCTTATATGAAGGAAAATACCTTGGGACTCTTGAAATTAACATTCTGTCATCCTGTGTTTTTTTTCCACAGCTTCCCATAGTTGAAAAAATAAGAATCATAGCTCAGAAGATCTATGGAGCTCAGGATATAGAGCTCTCTCCTTTAGCACAGTCTCAAATAAATCGTTACACTCAACAGGTAAAACAAGAATATATGCAAACAGATATATCATGGGTGTCATTCCTATTTTTAAATTTATATATCTCTTTGAACAAAACTGCCCAAACTGTAATGCTGCTTTGCTAAATGCCAGGGCCCAGTCTTTCTATATCTGCCTTTAACTTTTTCTGCCTTTCCCATCCAATAGAACAATGTTTCTCAACCTTGGCAACTTTAAGATGAGTGGACTTCATGCTGGCTGGGGAATTCTGGGAGGTGAAGTCCACACATCTTAAAGTTGCCAAGGTTGAGAAACACTGCTATAAAGTCTACTACTGCTGGCCCTTTCAGTGACTTGTTTATTAATATCACCAAGGTCTGCCTGGATCAGGATGCTGCTGGCTGCAAACATGTGCTGCAGGCCAGGCCCCTGCAATCATGGATGTGCACATGGATGAGGGGGGAAAGGCTCCCGGTTAAATGACTAGAAAGGTCCGCTGGCCATTTTCACATCTCATCATTCCACAGGGGTCTATGGTGGCTCCCTATTCAAACCAGAGCCAATTGCTGATGCTTATCTTTAGGGCCCTCTGGCCTCACACACGGGCTTCCTGAGGTTGCCCTGAATTCTTCCTGCAGTTCTCTTTGTTCCTTACGCTACCTTAAGAGACCTCTCTCTCTGTTCCTCACTCCAAGGTCACAGTCTCCAGGCCCTGAGACTCTGGTCTCAACCCCCTCCTTCCCTTCATCCCTGTGAAAATTTGATGGCTTTTAAAATGGTTTAAACAACTTTTTATTTTGTTGCTGGGTTAGTGGAAGGACTTGTTATCCCACCCTACTCTAATTAATGTCAGCAGTTCCTAGGTTAATCTTTCTTTTATTTTAATTGTGGATGTATATACGTTCAGTCATATCACAGGACACCATTTTAAGCATATCCAGTTGTGTTTGGCTTGTCTCAATAGTTAATATTTGTTTATTGATTTGGCTGTCAAGCTGCCAATTGTTGAGTTACTGGATGGGATGTTGCAATTACTCTCTTTCTGATTTGTACTGGGCTTTGAAAAAGGCATTTAATAAACTATTATTAATTAAGATGTATACATATAACATCTTGCCACAACCTACTGAAGCTTAAGCCAAAGACTTATTCCTAGAACCCAGCAATGTATACTGGTAATAAAATTTAGCTTTGTTTATTGTACAGTGTGCAGGATCTTGGAGAAGAGGCTGCTGTTGTTACAGTGTGGTATAGAGACATTGTGTCTTTCTCATTTCTTTTTTTGTCAGGGATTTGGGAATTTGCCCATTTGTATGGCAAAAACTCACCTGTCCCTCTCCCACATGCCTGAGAAGAAAGGTGTTCCCACTGGGTTCATTCTGCCTATCAGCGACGTAAGAGCCAGTATTGGAGCTGGCTTTATTTATCCACTGGTGGGAACGGTGAGTAGCGTCTGTTGCATTTAAATGTGGTGCTTTGTAAAATCATGTTTAGAACTCTCTAGTGCAAAGCAGAATAGAAATAAATACTAAGACAGTGAATTGACAAGGATTTTCATCAAATAGATTTTGATCCAAGTATGTTGATTCATATGCAAAGGATTAATTTTACAAACCCAAAATGTGGGGGAGTAGGTTTGTGTTTCTTCAAACAGCAGTACCTCAGGGAAGTTCAAAGATAATACATGATGCGCACTGAGGCTTCATCTAAGTCAAAAACTACACTGGGCTACTAAAAGGCTCTTTAATGAAGAGGTTTTTCCACCTTTAAAAAAAAGTGTGTATTTTTTCACTTTAGACTTTCAGGTTGATTTCTTTGTTTCACCACCTAAAATGATTATTGCATGGTATGAATTCTAATTATGACAGTGACTTGCTGTAACTTGTTAAAAATATTGAAAATACTGGCTATTAAATTACTGTTAAACAATAACAACTGTCCTTGACCCAGAACCTAAACATTGGCAATCATACGAAGAGCGAGCTCCTGTGGACTCCTGACCAGTCCAGAGCACAGTCTGATTTCCTTACATGAGCAAGACATTCGGAAATAATAGAGAGTTTCTGACTTATTGTTCTGCATTACCAGTGAAAGGGCACAAGGAAGGAAGTGAACCCTGGCTAGATGTGCTTTGAGAAGTCAGGAAATTCTGTCATGAGGATTCTCTGGCCTTGCAGTCTGCTTTCTATGTATATAGCCAGGAAACTTTCCTTTCACCACAAGCACAATAAAATGTCAGCATGTCCAGAATGTGACTTCAACCCTTTTGCGCTCTCCTGGGAAGCTTGTTAATGTCTTGTGGGATATTATAAGTGAGGCTAAATGTAAATTGTACTTGACTCTTGAAATTACAGAGGTAATAAGTATGCATGTACGTATGCATTTGTGTATTATTTCAATTTGTACGGTTGCCCATCTCAGGTTAATGACTCTGGGGGCTAAAACTGTTAAAAGAAAATATAAAAGCATTAAAAAAAATCAGAAAAACAAAAAATAACACACAAAGAAACAGCAGTCGGGGTAAAAACAGACCCACCAGTCACGAGTTAACATAATCAACCTGACCCCCAGGCCCGGTGACAAAACCAAATCTTTAAGGCCTTACAAAAGGCTGACGGGGTTGGGGCCAATCTAATCTCTGGTCAGTAATTGGTCAGTTCTGATCTTTCAAACTGACATACAATTCTAGTGTTCAGACCTCCTTTTCTAGGTTAGATTGTGAGGAGAAGTAGAACAATATTCATATACTGACTTTGAACATTCCTGTTATATACAAATGTAAACCTTTCTAATATTTTGAAACTCAGTTTTATAATACATTGTCTTGCACTGAAAATTCCTATGCAATGGGTAAGTAAGTCTTTTTAGGGGCTAAAAATTGCATGCAGTTTTTTTCCAAGAAAATGTGCCCATAGTTTTTATGTCATTTTGCAATAACCTTGACCAATGTGAGTATGTTCACAGGTGGACTTGTGACATGATGACCTGGTTATATGACAAGCAGGCAGGAAGGCTTGTCAAGTTTGTTTAGGAAGTTGGTGAGGTCACTAGTGAGTTATGCTTGGGTGGGGAATGATTGGATTCTCTTGTGCTTGTGAGAGACTCAGACCCACCCAAAGTTATTGCAGCTTTGTACTTTCCCACATATTAGTTAATCTGCTTTAGTGAGAGTGCTCTGTGCCACACAATACAGAGGAATTCCACTTTGACTTACTCCAAGGACAACAATGATTAAGAGACAATACAGAGCTGCATTCTTTGCCTCTATACAAAGTTGAGATAAACATAATCTTATTCAGGCAGTGTTTGAAGCTTCAAGGTTTTCTATTGGGTTGTTTCTTTACAAAATGATAAACCAGCCCTATGTTTATAATGTTAATTTCTAATGGCTATTGTTATGAAATTAAAATGTTTCCATTAAACATGTATATTATTTTAACAGTCAAATACATTTTGGAATGTTAGAGGTTACTGGTCTTGTTGACTCACCCTCCTTAAAACACTTTCTGACCCTTAGTTGAAAGTTAATGACTGAATATTTAAGTCACAACAAGGTCCTAGGCATTCCAGAAAGAAGTCTATAGATGTTAATAGAGTTTTTTCCTAAATGAATAGTATAGGATTGCTGCTACTTCCCTGTTTGCAGAGGTTTAGCAGTTTTTATTCAGATGCTGATCTCAGCCTTCTGGATTTCTTTAGGTACCATCAGTATTCAGCAGTGTTATACAATATATAGGTAGCCCAGAGAAGTTTTTCAAGGCTGGAAAAATCAAGGAAGGATTTTTTCCCCTCCTTTGTGGAACTATAGATGTAGATTGTCCTGTCTTTGAAGAACGGATTGTTCAGTAGTTGTTGCTTTCTAATGGTTTATTTCTTGAACCAGGGTCCTTCAGTGAAGGCCCTGGTTGCATGTGATGTTAGGAATGGACACCAGCAGTTAAACAGAAGTTCTAGTATTTTAGCCCCTAGCAGATAGTTTTAAATTTAGAGCACCCTGAGGCAACATTGGAACTATTCATCTAGATAAACCAAAGCTCTAGTTTAGCATAATTTTACATTGGTTTTGGTGGGGGATGGTGGTTAAGGGTGCAAATGGAAATAGTTTCCTTTCAGAGGCTTCTCACTTCAACTTATATCTTATTTGGAATGAAAAAGATCCAGAGGGTGCTGCTGAGAAACTTCTATTTCACTGATGAGTTTCAGCTCTGTGATGTTGGGGTCCTGGGGTTGCAGATAGGCTGCTCAGGGACAACATGCAGCCCCCAGGCCACAGATTACCAACCCTTTTGCTGAACAAAACTCAATATACATATACTTTTTTTCTTGGAATTTTGTCTACTGAATTATGACATTTTTAGTTTCTATACTTTTGAACAAATTAAAAAAATGACAGGGACATCTATAATTCAAGTTATATTTTGATCTGTGAAAATAGTTCATGATAAACCTTGAACACAAGCAGAATAGGCTATATAGTATATTGATATAATTGCATTATGAAGATAATTTGCTTTAAATCTAATAGGTCAAGACTATTTCCTGCTTTGCATTCTTGCCTTCTTTCAGTTGATTCTGACAATTGGTTTTAATTATACAACGTGTTAGGAAAGCATATGTGTTTGCTATTATAATCTCCGCATCTACTGTACTACCCAGAGCAATTTTTATATATATATATTGTATTGTAAAGGATGAGAAAAAATCCTCAGCCTGCTAACAGCACTTTATAATATAATAATATTTTCCCTTATAGCTATTTTGGCAGCTGGAAGTAGTTTAATTTTGATAAGTTTGACATAAAGAATGGAATGTAGTCATTTTTAGAGGCCTGAAATATATAGGGGAAAAGTTTAAAGGAAAACAGAGCAATGAAACTATGAAACAACTGAGAAGTTGTTTGTTGCTCTTCCTCCAGTCAATGGCAGTTATGTGCTGTTCTGTTCAACTATACTGCAAGAAAATAATAAATTAATAAATTACAATGGAAGGAAAATATAGCTTCTGGGACCTACTATATTTAAAGAATGGCAGGAATTTCCAGGGAGACTAAATTTATGAAAGAAATAGGTGATTACATTTTTTTTTAGAACCACTGTTAGATTTTTTAAGTGCATGGGAAAAACTTTACAAAATTATTTGCCTGTGCTTTCAAATTCATCAAAACTTTGTGTCTTGAATTGTACAGAACTTAGCTGTATCAGAAAAAGTCAAGATAACAGAAAATGTATGCAGAATATAACTCCTGCTTGCTATAACATAATTGAAACCTCTTGTAAATCAGTAGAGATATAAATTACTTTAGGCCTTGGTATTTCAGTTCTTTTTTAGCATCTTTTATACTCTTTGTATGGTTTTGTTGAAAGAATGATAGAAGCCTGAGAAGGAAATCTGGATCTGCTTTTTGAAAGTAGAATCTGAGATATAATTTTGGTTGCAAAATTTCACTCACGGTTAACAATAGGATTGTACAGAAAACATGTAAATCATGTTTTTGTTTTGTTTTGTTATAATTTACAATATAAATTATAACAAAAGAAAGGAATGCATTATCTTCATTCAACAGCTTGCATTTTAAGAGTATTTCTAAAATGAACAAGTATTTTAAAATCTATGTATCATACTTTTATGTGTTTGAGAATATCAGGACAAGTGGCAGTTTATTGCCACGATCTCTTTTGCTTGTCTTTATTCCCCAAGATCATAATATTTCCCTGCCTATACTTCTCATATAATAGAGAATGAGAAATTATGAATTCATTTCAGTCAAATGACATTGATTTCAGTGAAATTGTTAAGGATAAGTAAATTACAGGACAAGCATACTGGAGATAGACCAGGGGATCTAGTTAATACATTTTAAGGATGGATCAAGTTGTCTCTAAATCCCAGCCAGCTACGTTAATACTAATTAAGGTTAACGAGATCATGAAGTCAAGGGGCAAATGGGATAGGCATATTATTTTGCTTTCGTATTAAAGTTTTTAATTTTAAGTGGTGCTCTGGTAGAAAGAATGGCTGGATCATTACAAGCATTCATAAAACTCCGGGGTCTTCCTGCTTTCTTCTCCTGATCATATCTTGCTCTTTGTTCTCCTTTCTCTGGCTGCCAGGAAAACTGTCAGCTTGCACTCTTTATCTAATCCATTGCTAGGAATGTTTGGCACGCCTTTGGCAGATGGGGAGGCTCCCCTTCCCCCCAAGAGTCTCTCTTCTGGTTTCTCTTCATAATTAGTCAGCCATATTTGCTTTTACTGAATTACTTCAAGGGAGAAATAGAAGAAAGGAGTCTAAAGAGGCAACTTTTAGAAGTATAGTGAATTATCTCAAAAATAAACGCTTAACAGAAGAAAATCAGATGTTCAAGCCGGCATATCATATCCACTTCATTATATGACAGAGGTTCTAACTCCACTGTAATGAGATAATTTGAGCCCAGAGACGT